GTGCATCGTCCAGAATCCTCAATTTCACAAAATTGTGCTGAACTCACGAAATACGAAATCACGGAATTTATCCCTTTCTCAAGCGGAATATCTGCTGTTGTGGTGTACTGCTGTACCGTGTTTCGTCCTGCAGAGGAATCGTCGTAATACGAAAGACGCCTTTCGGAGCTGTCAGCTAGGCGCATAAGTACTGAGCCTGCTCATAATAAAATTGATGGCATTGAGAATATTAAGGTCCTTTCCATACTCATCGCTTTCACCACATGAGAATGACTAATGTACATGTGGTTTCTGCTGAGGTGATCACTACTGTGCCCACACTCTCCATTCACCACTCCCATTAGAGAAAGTAAAGCAAGTCATAATAAAATTTATATTTCTCGACTGCGTATACATTCTTTTCATCGGGTCCGTGCTGGCAAAATGCCTACAAAATGCGCAAAAGGGTCATTTCATGGACTTCGAACCTCTGCAGGAGGGGGGTGGGGTGGGGTTCGTATTTCAAAGTGTTATTCGACGCTGATCAGGATTCGGTTTTGTCGAACAAGTTTAGTAAGTGCCTAAAAAACTTTGATTATCGACATCGCATTCTCCACAACACAAGAAATGCTTGAGGCGGAAATCCTTAGATCCTTCATATCACGTTATCGACGGCAGCTGAAGTGACAGAAAGAGTGACGGACCTCGAAGGAGCTCAGCACTGAAACGATTACTATCGACAGTTTGCAAACGAGAATTTGATCTCGTAAGCAAAGGGAGTATGAGGATTCAAGATGAAAGTTCCTGAGCTGGAATGCGTTAATATGTCCTGCTAAGGATGAAGAGGCTCTGATATGAATTCCTTTCTCGGGATTCAATCTTAAACCTCGGAGCTGTTTTAGGGAGAAGCGACACAAAAACGAAAAGAGAAATACAACATCAAAGTCGAGGCCCTACCGACAATGTAATGACCCATGCTTAAGCTGAGAGAGGATGACAATCAATCAGAAAGGAAATTACTGTACGAATACAAGCTAAATCATAGGACACCCTGGGTATCATCCAGTAATGGAAGAGGCATGTGGTACCACAGTTGATGTGGATTACAGGAATTCAATTATTGCTCAATTCTTGCACACGAATAATATTTGGTATCCCTAGTGTGGTATGAACTATCACACCCATGCCCCCAGGAGGACACCCTGAAAGAGTATTGCTACATGATTCAAAGTGTGTAGCTTGAAAAACTCTTTGCATGATGCTCATTGACTTTTTCTCACGTCTTGTAAGTTCAAGACGTAATTGCAAACATAGCGCGTGTGAAAGGTTGCTGAACTGATTATATCAATCTGGACCACGACGCGGACATAATTCGATCCCTTTCATTGTTGCAGCAATGCTTTGAAGCTTAGCCATCATATGCGTGTCCTGCGTGTTGTACCAAGCAAGGAAGCTCATACAACAGGTTACGATAGGGAGCAGCACCGTATGACTGCTTCGCGTCAAGATTGAGTTCATTCACATTCTTTTTCGCAAAATTGGGAACGTCGATGATCTCTTCGTTTTCTCGCTCTGCTTCTTCCAATTCGTCCCATACTCTCTTTCATAGCTCATTATGTGTGGTCATCGAGTCTCG